GACATATGGAGTATTCCAGTAACAACACTAAAATGAGCCACTCGCAATGAACATCCGGCAATTTCGCTATTATTGGTGCACATTTAAAAAGCGATATAGTTTCGGAAGAATGTGTTATTTCAGTAGACGTGTATACTTAACCACAGAAATGTGAATACCTAACAAATTGTGTCTTGCTGGAATCGAACGAAATTTCACTGCGCCATATTCTCCAAGTTTCATATTCTGCGGTGAAATGAACTGCGCCTGTTGTGTTTTAGGACTGTGATACGTAGAATAATTTCCAGAAAAAAGCGCTGGTGAAGCTAAATCCTCCGCAAACGCGATAGCTGGTTTCTAAATGTCACCATTATTGTGGTAGTTTTCGTTAAAAAATTGTACAAACATCTCATGATAAAACTAGCAATGCACAACCAAAAAACAGTACAGCAAAAACTTTCTCTAAAAAAAACGGAAGTAAAACCTGTTGTTCGCTCAGAATACTGTGATCAGGCCATGCATCTTCTGCTCCTGAAGCACAGGGAAGGTGTGTGTATGATTTAATAAAATGTCCCTGCATAGTGGACAGTCCAACAGCAGCATTCCCAGTTTCAGTGTTCACTCGTTCGCTATACGTATTTACAGAATTTGCATTATTGTCAGAATTTTCGATCAGATTTACATGAATTATCGAAGTGCTTGGTAACACCTGGGGCTTTTCTTCCGCAATGTCAGTCTGAAAACCGCCAGGTAAACTCATGAAAAGAGAACACGGTCAATATTTTCATTTCACAACATAAATAAAATCAAACAGAAAACTGAATTACTTTGTCTGATCCGTTGTAGACATTCAACTCACGGGATTCACCTGCGATAACGCTGCTACTATCATTTAAACTTTCACTGGACTTATAAACACCACTCTCGGTCAAAACATGGTCATTTCCTTGCTTTAGAGTGCTCTTTCGTGAAACGTCCTGGGAAAGATGAGTGAGTGAAGGCCATTTCAAGTCGCCATTGACCGATGAATCAAAAAGAGAATTGGCATCTTCGTACATGGACTCCTAAAATAATTTAATGCTAATGAAGTGGAAAACTTCTTGAACTTCCAGGAAACGAATTTTCCCGTCAAAATTACACAGAGATAACAGAACGGCTCAGCAGATGATGGAGCTGGCAATTAAATGATCTGGATGCGCGTTAACTCATTTCCATAAATGCAACAAAGTTCTAAAGTGGGAAGAGATCCATACCTGTATAGCCTTGTCATCTAGAACTGAGCTATTCCATGGTTCCATGCGGCTCAGTTGTTCCTTTAACGTAGTCTCATTTTCATGCGGCCCAACCATAGCAGCACAGTCATCACTGAGTTCCGCTAAGCTGAAACAGTCAACTGATCGAAATATTGCAAGAATCGAAGACAGTCCAATAACAATGAATAACATACCGCATGTTTTCAAACATTTCCTTTTCAGCCAGCTGCCGCGCTTCTTCCAGAGTCCTTCTTTCAGTAATCTGTTCAATAGTCAAGTCATCCTTATGCTCACCCATAACCCAGACCCAGACTTCGCCATCTTCTCCTTTCAACCATCTGTAATACAAAGCGCATGATGTCTGAAAACGGTACACAG